TTAAAAAACAAACAAAACAAAGCCAAAATTAACTCTTTTGCAACTTTCAAAATTCCCATGTTTTATTTTTAAATTTTGTTCCCACGTTTTATTTTTAAATTCTCAGATTTCATGTTGATGACATTGCTAACCCTTCTAAGAGAAGGCTCATGGACTCCTAGAGAAAAATGTTAAGGTTTTGTGGTTTTGGTTTGTTGGGGATTTTTTTTTTTTAACTTTAAAGGTGGGGAAAATCACAGAGGAATGATTAAGAAGTTGAAGGGATAAGTGTGCAAATATAAAGGACACTAGGCTTCCTGTTTTCAACAAAACTTCAGGAACATTCTTTTTTTTTAAAATAACTTCCTTTTGTGCTTTGAATCAGTGATTTGTGTTGCATGGGAGGTGCTGGGGGTAGAAATAGCTCTGGGCAAATATGATTACCTGCCAGCAACAAAGGAGGCTAGGAATGCTGTAAGGAAATACAGCTCTGTAACTGTAGCTGCACTAAGTGCTAATTGGCATTCCTTATGCATTGGTATGTCCTATGTAAATACTGCTCGATCAGGTGAGCAGCTATCAAGTCTACTTCTTTTAATGGTGAGTTTAAACACAAGCTCGGATTCCAGAGTTTAGTGAACAGTGAAGAAAATGGTGGGAAATACAGCTTTTCTTCTTTTACTAAGGCAGATATTTGAAAGAATTCTTGTCTCAGTCAAATCTTCCATCTTAGATTATATACTTGATTTCAAGATCACTTATTCTAATTTATTTCAGCTAATTTCTGAAAGATGCAAACTGTGTCACTTTGTGTTTCCATGAAATTCCTTTCTCACTTGTTCTTACAAAGCTGAGGGTTTGTGGTGGTTTGAAAAACCTTTTCTCTGGGGCAGTAATGGTTTGCCCCACTGATAATACTAGACCAATCAAAGGTTCATATGCGCCCTACGGAAATTACATACCCACAGCAATGGAAGAGAAGGTGGTGAGTTTTTTTTTTTTAGTTAGTTGGTAGCCATGATCTGAATCACGAGGAGGCAGGGGGCCAGTGAGCCCCCTCTGGGGGCCAAGAGCCCCCAGCCCCAGCTGAGGCTACGAGAGACCTGGAGTAGTGTCAAAGCTGGACCGGGTCCCGTAATCAAGAGGTGGGAGAATTTCCTTACTGTCAGCACCAGCAGAAAACATTGAAAGCGGCAGCGGAGCAGTCCTGAACAGAAACAGTGATGGCTGAAAGCCACAAAGATAGCCAGTAGTAACAAGATAACATGAAGCCGGCTGAAAGACGCAGAGATGTTCCTGCAGGAGGGAGAGCTGGCAACGAAACAGAGGAAAACTCAACAGAGCTGGTTTGTGGTAAGACTGTATTACTTTCCCAAAACCCAGAGACCTGTTGAAGAGGAGGGGTGGACTTCCAAACCTTTAGGGAGTCCCAAAATGCAGCAGCAGCTAGAGAGAGAGAAAGGAGCCGAGAAGCCCGGAGTCGTCCTGAGAGAATTGAGCCAGGACAGAGTGTGGAGGAGGTGGCTGTGCCCTCTGCTGCTGCTGCTGTTGCTTCTATTGTGCTAGCGAGCTGAGACAGAGCAAAAGAGCTTTGGTAAGACTGAACTGAAAGCTGCCTTCAATGTTCTAACCCAAGAGGAGTGGAGATCTACAGGGAGATCCTCCGAAGGCTCGGGCTCGGGGTTGAAATTTCCACAAAGTAAGAACCAAACTCCTGACTGCCATACTTACATCTGCTGCCTTAGGAAAAAGAAAGACACTAACCAGTGCCACAAAAAACTGAAACGAAGGAACTGTGGCCTGTGCAGTGACAGAAAGACTTTTCTCTTTCCTTCTTGGACTTTTATTGAAGGAAAAGAGGAATTTAATTCAATGTAAATATATATATATATAGGTGTGAGTAAATAAACCTTTGTAAATATTTTTCCCTTCCCCCAATAACGAATGGTTGTGTTTTGTCTGAAAACTCTCCACATGAAGTGAAAAAGATATCAAGTCCATACCATCACTAAACCCTCTCACAGGGGCAGGCTGTGGGAGGGGGGCTTGAACTTAAAAATTGGATCCTTGGGAGTTTCAAACCACCAGAGGGTTGTATTAGAATGATGTCATAGAAGGAAGTTGAACTCTTTAGCAGAAGTGAGTTTGCAGTGATGCAGGTTATCATTACTAAGAGTGCTGCGAACACTGAAGAATGAATTCATGAAGCAAACAAACAAATCTGTGCATACCTTATATTTTTGGGTGGAATAATTGAGAAAAGCTTACAACCATTGCTATTTACCCTTGGGGTCAATGGTGAGGGGCGTAGTGGTCCCGTGGCACGGCCCCGGCTGAACTCTTTGGGCTGGAAGTCAGTTTAAAGAAGACAGGAGTTCTCTATCAACCTGCACCTCAGGAAATCTTCCATCATCCCCATATCAACATTGGCCAATCACAGCTCAAATCAGTCCAGCAGTTTAATTACCTAGGCAGCCTCATCTCCTCGGATGGTAAGATTGACGGAGAGATAGACAACAGGTTAGCAAAGGCATATAGTGCTTTCGGAAAGCTTCATGAAAGAGTTTGGCGAAATAAACACTTGAAGAAAAGTACAAAGATCAGTGTTTACAGAGCCATAGTGCTGTCTACTCTTTTATATGGTTCCGAATCATGAGTCATCTACCGCCACCACCTGCGTCTCCTAGAACGCTTCCATCAGCGCTGCCTCCGTACAATCCTAAACATCCACTGGTCAGATTATGTGACCAATACATCTGTTCCAGAACAAGCAGCAGTCACAAGTATTGAGGCCATGTTACTGAGAACGCAGCTGCGTTGGGCAGGGCACGTCTCCAGGATGAAGGACCACCACCTCCCCAAGATCCTGCTCTATGGTGAACTTGCCACTGGCTGTCACATGAGAGGAACCCTGAAGAGAAGATATAAGGACTCCCTGAAACAACATCTCAGCCTTGGCCATATTGATCACCATAACTGGTCTACTCTGGCCTCCAACCAGGAGGCCTGGAGACACACTATCTTTAACGCTGCTGATGCCTTTGAGAAAGCATGCAGGATCGTTCTCGAGGAGAAAAGACAACGCAGAAAGAATCGTGTCTTGCAGAATATTCCACCTAAGTAGTCTTTCTGCTGTGCCTTTTGCAACCGGCCGTGTCTATCTCATATTGGCCTTTTTAGCCACCAACGTGCTTGTAACAAACGTGGGTAGAGCCCTCCCCAGATCTTCATTTGCGAAACCTAACCATGATGATGATGCTGATGTCAATGGTGAGGGCAAGTTCCAGCCCTCTAAGCTATGTACAAACAGTGTGCATGATATTATTTGTCATTAATGGTATGTTTGTGGATTTAAGAAAACAGACCTATGGAAAAATTTTTGGATATGGTTATTTAAAATTGAGATTGAAAAAATACAGTTAAAATATCAGTTCTTGCTAAATCTTGATAACATTCAAGTATAATTCAATGCAAGAATATAAGAAAAGCAAGATTTATCTGCATGTTTTGTATTTTTCTTACTTCTCCCTACTTGTGTACATCTAAACACTGACATTTAGATGGCACAAAAGGAAGCTTGATTAGGACTTTCAGTTTTAAAACTTGGTTACTGTCAGTGCTATGCTGTGACAACGACGGGCCTATTCATGTCTACATGGAAAAGGCATATATATTAGTTAAAGATATGAGCATAAATGTTTTAAACTGCACAACACTTCATATGATTATGATTCTTAAAATGCATTGTGCTCTATAGTGTGTGCATACAACTAATACATTATAGGTAGTTACTGCTAATGAATTTCCTTTAAGTAATTGAAAAAGACAGAAATAGACAATAGTTACATATTGATACGAAAATCTCAGTTTTAATCTTTTGGGAAAAAAAAAGGATTTTCAGTGGAACCCATGGCTCCTAGAATTTGTATGTTTGCTGTGAAGTATTTTGTTAAATTATTCATTTTTTTACAACTGGTTGTACACTTAAACAACAAGTGTATGTGTTTAGATGGAAAATAGTTTTCCACTGGGAAACTGGGGACAAAAGCTGATCAAATCATTGAACATTGCTATGTTGATAACTTGGTTAGTTTAAGCCATTGCTTTGCCTAAAATACAAGTCAAGTCGAAGTGTTTTTTATTTTAATGTGGTATAAATAGAGCAGTTGTGTTGTAATAGTCAGGTTGACTATAGAGAGGGCAACTAGTAAGTCTCAGTCCAGACTTAACACCTTTGTCTTGATGTATACAAGATATAAAAATATCCCTGTATTCCTCTGTTCAGGATAATACATGCCTTTTATTGGGAAACTCTGGAGTTTTTCATCTCTGCCATGTCTCTATTGCATAATGCATGTTATACGAATATATTTGCTTGCATAGGCCTGGATGATTTGATTTTTTGATCTTTTGTCTGGTTCTGTGGACCTGCTGTATGTCAAGTATGGCATTTACATTTTTGTTACCAGTACTTGAATAGCAACATCAGAAATGCTTTTGTAAACCATCAGTAATAATCTGAATAAAATATATAGTAAAAATGGCATCAAAGACTGTTTTCTTTACAAGAGAAAGTGGAATAGTTTAGCTTAGTAGAGAAAAATGAGTGATAGGATGTGTCTTATGTTTGAAACTATAACAGATGATTCTCTTCCAAAGACAGAAATCGCATGAAATATAATTATTCTTGGTGTGCGTTTGAACTGTCATTGGGATTAGAGTGGATTTGTCATTTGCATGTTGACATGTCTGTATCCTTTTAAGGGTGTGGAGTTACATATTTTAAATTATCAGAATTGCTGGTGACATGTTACTGGACCTGACAACTTTCAAAAGCACCTAAGGACTTCTACATCTTCTTTGCCTTTCTCATCTTCCTGGTCTCTGCACAGGTCAAAGAATGTATATTTACAGTAACATCTGTTACTGTTGCTAAGTATATATGAGGTTAGCATTTTTGAAAACATGTTTTATCATTAATTTAACCAAATTTTCTTATATAAGTATGTTGTTTTTTTAAGGTGAGGTTGCAGTGCAAACTGGAGATCTGCTGCCATGTAAGATTTGTGGAAGGACTTTCTTTCCAGCAGCACTGGTAAGTTCATAACAGTATGAGCAGTGTTGGCTTTTAGATTTGATCAGTTGATATGAGAGTTAAACAGTAGTCACTATAGCTGAATAAAGTAGATCAAGGTGCTTTGTTTTGGTGGGGGTTTGGGGTTTTTTTCCCCCAAATAATTAATGATTCCCGTTGTCTCAGTTTGAAAGCTCCTTAAAGGGAGGTTAATTTCATTTTAAGATCCCATCACTTTCTGAATACATGCTTCTAAAAGCATCTTCTCTAGGGTTACAGAATCAATCCTTGTCTCTGCAGCTTTATATCTTGGCTTATAGTCTCAGATAGTAAATGAAGTGTTTTGTCTTCAAAAGTCTCTGTTCTCCATTTTTAATAGAAATTGGTCTGTCCTTAAATGTGAATATGAATTTCAGGCACCTCTGATTTGTCTTGCCACTCAAGGCAAATGCTGCCTACCTGTCATCAGTTTTTTATGTACAAGGAGCAAATATAGATGCCTCCTACTTTTTTTCATCATTACCCATGACCCATTACATGTTTTTGTGACCATGTATATGCATTCATGATTTCCTGTAGTTCTGTTTTAAAGGTAATAGCTGGCATAAATGTTTGAGTGAAAACAGTCAGAGCTTTTTTATCAGGAGTTGGGCCTTTTTTGCTGACTGTTATATCAAGAGAGAGAGAAATAATGTGTTAATAACTTCTGTTTTCAAAACTAAGTTGTGTATTCTCCTTTTATTTTGCTACTGCTTGTAGAAAAAGCATGGACCCATTTGCCAAAAAACTTCTGCCAAGAAAAGGAAGACATTCGATTCCAGCCGACAGAGAGCAGAAGGAACTGACATTCCCACAGTAAAACCTCTTAAGCCACGGGTATGTTATAATTTACTCTGAATACAAATGTTTTAGGCAAACTATATATGCATTATAAGGCTTATTTCTGCTGGCAGTTCTTGATAATTAGATCAACTAGGATCTGGAAGAAATCGAACTATAATGTTGTCTACTGAAATAAGGCACATACTTAACTTGAAGTAAAAACTTCAAACATATAAAGCTTTCTTTTTTACTTCTTAGCCAGAACCACCCAAAAAACCTTCCAACTGGCGACGAAAGCATGAAGAATTTATAGCAACTATAAGAGCAGCCAAAGGACTTAATCTTAAAGATGGTGGAAAACTCCCTCCACCACCTCCACCATCATATGACCCTGGTATGTGAAACAGTCAAATTCCTTAGAGATTTTTTTTTAACTTAATTTGTAAAAATTTGAATTTGAAAGGAATTTGTTGGAATACAATATTCACAAGTTCTTGAAGATGTCTTACCTTATTGTCTCTGTGCATGTGCTGGTTTGTGACCATGGGTCTGGCTGGCTTGCATCCTGTGTAGCAGTCAAAGCCCATGACTTTGTTTTTAACGTGTCGAAGGGTGGTTGTGGCCAACTTCTAGCTTGCTACCATCTTATAAACCACAGGCTGGACAAATTGTTTCAATACCTTGTTTATGTCCACAACAGTGGAACAGCTCAGAAATAGCAGAGTACCATTTTAATTAGCTGGCACCCACAACGTATTTACATTGTAAAGAATGCGCATTGACACTGTTCTTCAAATGTAGTCTCTCCCATTTCTTGCTGCTTTCACATTTAGTTTCATGTATGCAGTGTATGCCTTAATGTGCATATGATCCTTCCTCATGTCGTGGGGGTACTCGTGTTTGTGGTATGTGAGATGTGTGGAATTTGTATTATCAAGGGAGTGGCAGTCCTTGGGTGCCTTCAGAACTGAGGCTGGGTAAAGTGTTGAAGCAGTCTGATGTGAGTGAGAAGGAAATATACTTTTCATGTAACTTCTAGGATGTGATAATAGGTTGGAGAGTATATTTCTTCCTCTTGTCCTCAGAGCTAAACCATTTGATCAGCTCAATCAGCTATTTTCAGAAATATTAAGAAAAATGGAAAAAGGCATGTGTTTGCTTCTGCCTGTCTGTGGTCAAGTGAGTATGTAAAGTGTTCCCTTACCTTGTTTCTCTACAGGAAATGTGTTAGTCTAGTATGAGGATTGTAACTGTGCATTCACTAGAAGAGGTTAAGTTGCATTGTTCAGCATTCTGTATGCAGGATCTTGAAAAGCTGTATACATCTTAAAGTAAGGCCCATAGCTAATGCTGTGGATAAGAATCATGAGGCTTGATCATGGAAAGAATCATTAATCATCTAGTTATATAGGTTCTGAATTACAGGTATAAAAGCCCAGAACTAGATCTGGCTTGGAAAAAGCTACTAAAATGGTGCTCCCTTGGTTCCAGAGGCTGCAAATGAGTTTGAAGTGAAGGACATAACTCTATTCAGCCTGCTTGAGAACTGATAGGAGGTAAAGGGAAGATAATGTGTCTCTGTTTCTCTTCCTTCCATTTTTTATGTTTTCCAAGTTTTACTGCGTTTAGTCTCCTGGCTTCATCCTGCTGCAGTGGGTAAGACTTAGGAGGAGGAAACCAGGAATGAAAAGATGCATAAAATGATAGTGGATTCTCTTCTTACAAACAGAGCAGGAGCAGCTACTGTTGCTCCTTTTCCTCTTTTGCAAGGAGACATGGAGGAGAGAGGGAATGTTGCGCATGGTATCATGGCATGTATCCATCCTCTCCTATTCAGCTCTATCTTTTGCACACCTGTTTCTAACAAGCAGCTATTCTTTTTCTTTTTAATGGAAAGAGCCTTGTATTCCTATTTCCTGCTTAATTTAGTACTCTGAGTTCACAAACAAACAGTATTTTCTTGCTTTGGTCTCTTACGCTTTTTCCGCAAAAGTGCAGAATAGCCTCATGATGTTAAGAAGGACCTTAAATCATCTTGAACTTGACTGCATATTTGTACTGCCCTCTTACTTTGATTAGTTTTTATTTTATAAAGTGTACGTTGAATCCTAAAAGTTCTTTTGGACAGTGTGAACAGTACTTGCAGATAGCCAGGTGTCTAACTGTTTTTCAGAAGGATGAGGATACAGTTTCTAATTCTTAAGAGTATACATTCATCCTCTGCATTCTGATACATTTTGGTTTTCTGGGCTTTGAAAGTTTTCTGTAGGAACTGAGCTCTGCACCAGCCAGAAATGTCCTGCTATCTAGGGCTATCATAGCTGCTTTATTCCTATTTTGTTTTTTTAACTTTTTTATCTCTTTTTTAAATTTTTTTTTACTTTCTTGGTTTGACTAGATACTGTAGTTCTTTTTGTCTGAGCTTTTGTCTCTTAAGGTTTAGTTGATGTTTGCTACAGTCAGAACACTCCTAGTATATGTAAAATAAATAAATAAAAAATTGTTGTTGTTACCCCATGAAACTCCTATTATGTCTCTTCTGTGTTCCTTCTGTGTCCTGTGTCCATGGTTTGGTGGTCATTACATCATTTGACTTACTCAAAATTTTTTATTAATTTTTAAAGGGATAACAATTTAAGACAGATCTACTGCATTTGGAGTAGCAACATGTAATCCAAATCTTATTTTAGATTTGTATAATATCTAACTAATTTTGGGGGCAGTTACTATTGAATCTCTCCTAACTTTCTACGATACATTTCTAAAATGACCTAATTTAACCTGCTCTGCTGGTGTCAGGCTTTTCTGAAGTTGTTGTTTACATGGTTTTGAATACTGTAATCTGGAGAATACAGCATCACTATCTCTAAACACTAAAATATCTGTCTAAAACTGCAGTCTGAACATTTTATTTTCCAAGGGCACTGTATTTTAAGTTGTGTGTTTCCAGCATACAGTTGATATCTTTTAATATTTTAAATATTTGCATAGCCTTTCTTGTTTTTCCCCAATGAGGGTAATACTATTTCCTGCATGTAATACTGTTTGAAATTAATCTTGAAAAGTAATACAGCCACCAATTAGTCTCCTTTGCATGTCTCTAGAGATAGCTGCTAATTTTGGCTGAATTTCTTCTGATTCTTTTTGTTTGTTAAGTTTATGATTTTTTTTTTAATGGTAATTTCCAGTATTGCAGTTAGTATTTCTCAGTCTTTCAAAATTGCCAGAGGAAACAGATTTTGTTGTCTTTTGCTATTTGTGTATGAAAGGCTTTACTGTATTTTCGTATCTTGAACAAACTGAACTGTGTTTGTGATTTTTTTAAATTATTATTATTTTTGTTTGTTTATTTGTTTAGTCTCTTTTCCACTTCCTTCCAGCTGATATCCCTGCCATGTCCCTATACCTTTTTGGCTATCTCCTCTGCAGAATAGCACCTCTTAAAGTGTTTCTGGTTTTGTTTAGGTTATTGCTGATCCTCAACCATTCTGATTCTTATCCATCAAATGAGAAACATCTTTTGTGTTACATGGGGACAATATTCTTTTCCCCAGCAATCCATATTTCATTTTCAGATGCAAGAAGCCATAATTTGCTCTGGGGGAAAGGCTGGTCTTTAAAAGGCTGTAAAACACTCTCACCTTTAAAACACATTACTAATGTTAGGTTTTTATGTTTTTAAGATTACATTCAGTGTCCATATTGTCAGAGGAGATTTAATGAAAATGCAGCTGACAGACACATCAATTTCTGTAAGGAGCAAGCTGCACGTATTACTAATAAGGGGAAATTGGCAGCTGATACCAAAGGGAAGCTTCCTACTCGAACACAGGTGAGCTACAACATTTTTCTTAACTTGTAGCTTGCATTCAACATCAAACCAAGCTTTTTAAATAGTGTGTTGCTTTTAAATGGAGTTAACTATTTTGTTATGTAGTTTTGTTATTTGCGCTAGACTGAAATGCAACACTAAGCTTGGACAAGGCTTTTGCTTTCTTACAAGAGCTACAGAGATCCATAAATCAGATGGCAGTAGTTGCAAAGCCAAAAACAGTCATAAATGTAACTCAGAAATATGAAAATGACATGTAAAGGTAGCAGGAGGAAGTAGAAATGCAGTTTTTATGAAGGAAGTTGAATTTCTGCTGTGCTAGTTTTCTGAATCCAATTCAAGACCGTTCCTTAAGGAGTCAAACAGAGGTACATGGCTACAGGACAACTGACAGCAATATTTTGCATAATTAGAGGCTTTAGAGGGCTTCAGGTATATTAAGGAAACAAGTGAAGGTTCAAAGTGTATATATGTGGTTTCATTTGGTGGTAATGCTCTTTTTTTCTGGAAACTGTGAAGAGTTAAATAGACACAAGCAGTTACTTAGTGATTCTTGTACTGTATTCTGAACTGGTGCTGGGACTGGTCCAGACTGCACAGGCGAATATAAGATTTGGATTTTAAAGACAAAAATGATTCTGCCCTTGAGTAGTCTTTTTTAAATTAACTGGTAATGAGATCATAATTTTAATCTCATGAGACAACTGTTGAAGAAGATGATAAAATCTGTAGAAAATCGAAAAATGCAGAACGATGTACTGTTGAACAACTAAAAAAAAACACTGAGTTAGAGAATGTCTTCTACTAGTATCATCTGTATGTATAAAAAAGCAGACTAGCAGAAACCATTTGCATGTTCCCATACCAGAAACAGTTTACGTAGTAGGAAATCATCTGTTCTCCCACAGTACCTGAACTACCTGTTGTGTTTTATAGATAGTTTGATTTAATTGCTTACATTTCTAGGTTGTATTTTGTTACAGTACAAACCTGCTGCTGTTAAGAAGATGCCTTCTGTAGGATCAACACCATCACCATCGTCACGCTTACCACAGCCGAGTGGCATTAGCAAAACTGTTGTAGGTATGAAATGAATGTTATGAATTTTTCCGTTTCCTTTCTAAATGTTAGTTCTCAAATTATTCAGTGAAAGTTGATTGTTTATTTGCAATAGTGGTTTGTAAAAGCTCATTTAAAATAAAGTTGGAAGGGGCACTGTTAGGCATCCATCTAAAAAGACTCTTGAGCACAGAGGATTCTCTTCTGGTTTATATATCAGGTCAAATTATTTTATTTTTCTGAATTGAATCTGCAAAACCAAATATACTCTGTTTGTACATACTTTGACATTTCTTTTCTTTTTCTTTGTGAAGAAAGTAATTGAGATCCAACATTTTTTATTAGAATAAAACAGATCTCGATAGCATATTTTCTGTAAATTTCTGGAAAAATGTTTGGTTTTCCTAGTATCTTGACACTCACTCATATCTTTATATTTCTAAAACTTGTTTTGAATTTTACAATTAAAATTATATCGTTTCAGCAGCAAAATCTTATATTTTCTTTATGCATGCTTCAACTGCAAGGTTCCTCTTCAAGTAAAGCACTGCCTTCATCTGGATCCAGTGGAAGTAAAATTCAGACGTTATCACCAGCTCATAAAAACTCACTGGGAATGGTGAACCCACAGGCAGGGTAAGTTTCCCTGTAATGTTGTCATTTGTGCTTTATTTCATGTTTATGTTGTGCTAGTTCTAGAATACTCTGTGGTCTGCTTCACTTGCTTTTTATTTTTTTTCCACTGAGCTTCAGAAGTGTTTTGAATTTTTCCTTTATTTATAAATACAGTTAATGTTTAAGGAACATTGGAAAAGGCAAAGATGCATTTTCTCAAGTTAAAGTAACAACAAAGGAGGTCAAGTGATAAAAATAGATATAAAATATCTATGGATATGCAGAAGTGGTTGGAGCTATAAAGTTTTTTCCTGGTAAATGTGAAGTGACTTAAAAAAAGAGAAAACATTAGGCATAATTTCCTGCAATTCGTGGAAATAAAAGAAAGGCTTCTGCCACAGACTACCAGTTGTGAGAGTATCTTCTCTCTTAACACAAAAGGAGCGATGCTTTCCTTCTTCCCTTTCCTGTCTTGAGGCAACGAATGAGCAGAAATAAAGCAATGGAAACAGTGCACTTACAACAGCAAGGAGTGATAGATGTAGACTACAAGAGTTCAGTGTGTGGTGTGATCAAGGCTGTTACTGATATTTTGCTAGAGGGGTAGACAGTTCACACTATCTCAAAGAGAAATCTATGGAAAGGATAGAAGAAAAGTGGTGCAGTTCTACAGAAGTTTAAGGAACACCATGGAGCACTGAGAGAACACAGAACATACAACAAAGTGTTTGCAGTTATAACATTGGTGATTAAAAAGACTTGTTCCTATAAAAATGAGTATCTAATTGGTGAAGGCTATAAGGTGGGGGAAAACAATGGCTTAAGTTCGTGAGGAAGAAAAAGGACATTCTGAAAGAACTCATGGGGATGGACTGCAATTACACAAAACTAGTGATTTTTAGTTTATTGCTTTTAGGTTTTACAAGTTACGCACAAATACGAATGACAGCTCTGTCATACCTCCCTCCTAATGCCTTGTAGCATGAGGATTCAGTTCTGATTATAATCAGTTAGGTACTTTAAGTCTGGTTACATTCAATAAGAACTTTCAGAATCACAGATTCACAAATAGTGTAGTTTGTTGAAGCAACAGGTTATTAATTCTTGTTAGATTGCTGGTGATAAATGCACTAGATCTACAAAATAAAGTGTATAGTGCTAGGTACAAGTGCTCCCAGCTATACTCTGACATAGTCAGAGGCACAAATCTTACCAAAGAGGCATCACTGCTTTGAGGGGGAAGAGAGGAGCAAGCTCCCTGACTTTCCACAAAGTAAGGTCGTGTTCTCATCCCCAAAAATGGAGGATCTCAAATACCAATTTCATACTTTTTGAAAAAATGGAGGTGTGACTGTAGTTAATTGGTAGTAATTGGTTACCGGTTGCTGTGCTCCTAGATGATGTGACAACATTGAGCTGTGAGGCCTCTGCTTCACCGCAGCCATCATTCAGTTGTTAAGCTTCGCTTGAGCCTAGTGCAAGATAAGCAAGTGGCTTAGCTCATGTTTTTGCTCAACCAGCCTCATGCATTCTCCACCAACTCATGGCATCTCTGTATCTTGACATAACAAGTCTGGCAGCTTTTCACCATTGCTCACTGGGCTTTGTTTTCTGTATCTTCCATTTTCTCTTCTCTTGCTTGGAGGAAGAACTGTGACATGACTAAGGCAAATAGCAGCTGGGGAGGTGTTTGCCCAAGTTCTCTCTGTTCGTGCATTCTACTAAGCACAAGTAGATGGCTTCTGGTTGGCACAGCTCTCAGATAATGATCTTTGCTGGGAGGCAGTAAATGTTAGCTTGGCTTATAACCTCAATTGCTTACACAATTTCCAGTTTTTAAGGGTGCAGATATGCTGAATGTGTTTCTGCGTGCAGTACTTCTCACTTCTCTGTTCTAAAAAACTTGTTCTCTTCCTCTGTTTGCCAACCAGTCCTTATGATATTTGCTGCTTATACTAACCAGTCTTCTTACAGGTGGCTGTTAAACGTGTCTCTTTCTTCAGTGTTATACCTGAGACCTAGCAATTCTTTGTTTTTCGTGCTATGTTGTGCTCACTTCTGGGAACAAATCTGTCAGGACTTACGTTGAAGCAAAGAGGTATAGGAGCAGTTAAAACATGAAAGAGTTAAGTGCCTCAGATTGGTCATTGATAACAATTTTGGCCTTAATCATCTCAACTTTGTCCTTTGTATTGGGGTGTGAGGGGGAAATACATCGGGTTTTGTTGAAATACCTACAAAATTTTATCAGCCCTGGGACTGAGACACTAGCAGTCAACATCCTATGTCAGAGAGTGAGCATAGTTAATACTGTAGTGACACAGATTTTAAACATTAAAACATCTTATAATTTGGGCTATAGCTAATTGCAGCTGGAATTATTTTTTAAAATAAAAGAGCTTTTAAAAGTAACCCTCATTAGGATGAAACAAGATATATTTCTTTTACTACATTTATGATTTAACCAATAAAATGACTAACCATGAGATCTGGGATTGTGTTGTACCTAAGTCAGACAGAGCTTGTGCTGTAAGATGTCATGCTCTTCCTTCTGAGTTGTCAGTGAAACGATTTACTGAGCAATGTGACACATGGATTGTCTTAAGGGCAGTCCTTTAAATGGAATGTTAAGCAGTCACTGTCTCTTTTTTTTCCTTGACAAACATTTAAGAGTCTACACACGTTTTTTTTGACCAGGTTAAATTCAAGGTCTTGTTGTGAAAAACAGGCTCCTGCAGTTTGCACTAAGGGGAACTGTACATTTTGGGGTTTTTTAAATCTATTACTTAAATGTGGAACCTTCCATTTTTGCCTAGATTGTTTTAATTCTGGATTTGGCAAAGAGGCTGAATAGTGGTATTACAGTTATATTGTGCAGTATCATATATGTATGTTGGAGGGGGAAATTTATTTAGACACTGCTGCTTTCTGTAGAGTTGTGGTCCCTGTTCTCTGCGATGGATGGGCAAAGGGGCAGGATGATCCCACAGCTAGAGGGCAGGGACATGTGTGGGCTGCAGTTCCCCTCTCGCCCTTCAGGTGGTGCTCTTGGAATGCTGCCCAAAACACCCATGACAGCCACAGGGAGCTGCTCGTGCCGTGCTTTTAAAGGTCGAGGCTAAAACGGGCTGTGTGCAAGCTGTTTAGTTCTGTAAAGGAAAGAGTCTTGAACTTTATCTCATATAAAGTTCAAACACAATATCCTAGTATAAATTTTTATTTTGTTCAAGCAGAAATGCAACCAAATTTTATGAACTGCCTTATTATAAGTCGTATTTACCATATGGTTTCGTTTTTTTAATTTGAATTCTCCTCTTCTGCTCCCAGAGTAAAGGACTACTGAGAGAGCACACCACAGCAACATGAGTATAAGCTAGGTTAGTGTCAGTGAGGCTTACTTTGTATGTGTAGATCAGAATGTGCCAGCTGAGTTCTGCTGTGTTTTCTTTTTCTGCCTGGACAGAGTAAGAACACAGCCAGTTATTCCGGTGTGAATGAAAGTGCAGCATAAGGGCATCATCTCTGAGTCCTAGAGAATCAAGTAAGAGTGCAAGAGTAGCATGTGACTGTAGGAAAACCTACAGTCACTTGGGTGAAAATAGGTTTTTATCTTTTTGATATTGAAGAACTGAGATAAAGAAAATTAATTCTACATAAATTGTCACTAGGCTTATCATTTGATAGTGAATCATGTTATGAACCCAAGTTTGATACGCATTTTGTAATAGTGTAGAGGTTAGCACTGTTTTACATTTGAGGGGTAGGGCAGTTCTAGTAAGCTGGCAGAAGTAATCAGATCTTCTGGAGAAAAAATTGGCTAGGTTCTTTGTAACCTAAAGGTTAAGCAAACAAGCAAACTCTGCACCCACATGCAAACTGTTTTGCCTAGCAGAGCTTGACCCCACTATTTGTGGCCGGCCAGGGATCTTTTGCTTGTACAGATTAATTGTCTGTGCATGTTTCATTTATGAGCAGTTTTGTTTGGTTTCTTTTTTTAACTGGGACTTGGAAATTAGATGATATTTTTTAATAGGGCAAATTAACCTATAGAAATTATTTTGTTATTTATATTTTATTTTGGGGATAAAACATATTATTTAATGTTAAGCTGATCAAAGTTATGCCTCCTGGGAATCATGTCTGCCAGTGGTACATCCAGTACTGTCTTACAGCTGAAATACAATATGAATGGCACACTAAACCAATACCAGTAAATTTTAAATTCCACTGAACGTATTTTGCATACCACATTTGTAGCCTTTAAAAACATGTTTTAAAATTAGCTTGTTCCTTTCATTAAGACTGTAGCTTACAGAACTTTGTTCAATGAAATGAAGAAAAGTAAGAAGCTGTCTTGAGTTGCTTTTCAGAAGATTCTTACGATTGTGTTTTTTTCATTAGAACGTGAAAGGGCTGTCTAAGTGTGAAAAAATACTGTAGGTCTTTACTTTGACAATATTATGACTGCTTCTATGCTATTTCTTTGTTATTCTACTCTGTAGGTGCGTGATGTTCACAGATTACGCTGATAATTTTTTAAGGGTTCAAAAATAACTAAGAATCATGTTAGGTTGCAGTATGAGTCTTGCAGTGTCAAAGACCTCAGTATTGTTTCTCAGTTCCTTGGGAAGTAAAGAGTATCCCAGTTCCTTGGGATGTAAAGAGTATTTATTGAGTCAAACAGGAATTGATTAAGCATTTCCTGAGTTAATTAGTTTGAACTAGAACATCTGTTTGGGAAGAGGAATGAAAAGAGAAAACTCTAGGGGAGGTTATCTTGCAGCCTGCGGTATTGGGGCTAAATTGTCAAGACTAAAATCCCGGTGTTCCTTGCTGACTTTAGAATGAATATCACTTAGCACTGTTGAATTTTTGTTCCTTATGGAGACATTTCCTTTGAAGCATAAGATCCGTGTTGTGGATTGCAAGATTCACACCAGAAACTTCCCAAAAAATAAATTATATTGGAAGCTCTATAGGTTCTGTACCTTTTAATATGAGGAGGATGAAAAGTGGTATGATATGGGTGTCACAGATACACAGCAGCTGTTGTGTGGGGTTTTGTTTGGTTTTTTTTTTTAGTATGTATTAGAAGCTATATTGAAAATAATGTGCTTCCTTGACAGCAGTTAGCTCTTTTGTAATTTTCCTGGCATTGTAGTTTATTAGGGTTGTATGACAAGAATCAGAAAACTGCACAATAATTTTAAGAAATTATTTCTTGGGGTGTGAGAGTGTGTTTTGTTGGTTTTGCTTGTTTTTCCTTATGACTTCCCTTTAGGGATGAGAAACAGAAGAGTTAAGCTTCAACCTCTGATACGTGTCCATCAGTTTTGCTTGGTTTGTTTCCTTACAGTTCTTTAATCTCAGAAAAATAAATAAAAATACTCTTTAAGTGTTATAATTTTCCAGTTAAGGCTAAGTTACCAGGCTTTTTTTGAGAAGAAACTTTGGTTACATTATTGAGGTAGGAATGGTGGTATAATGGGATTTTTGTAGCTTTTACTTAATGATTTAAGATTATAAAAATGCAGAACTTTATTTGAAGATATAACTTTTCTAAGTTATGATTTCTGAAAAGCTACAATTTTCCTTGTGATAATATGAATGAGGGATGGGAGGTTTTTATTAGTTGGTTGCTTGCTTTTTTTTTCCAGTGGTTTTAAAATTTTACTTTTGATTTATTCATTTTGAAAATGTTATCCATACTAGTAAAAAAAAGTATTGAAGTATCGCCTGTGCATATAGTACTATCTATTGTGCATAGGGTTTTTTGTTATTAAAACAAAGTTGAGTTTCTTTCAGGCTTGCCTCTGTTCAACCTTTACAGAACAAAAAAAGAAGTGAAAAAGGAAAAAAATTTACTTCTTGCTAATTTAAAGTTAAGAAGGCTTGTACTTACATATCTGTTATTTTCTAATGTCTTAAACTTACAATTTGTAATTATGAGCCCCCTTTTCTAGATGCGATGTATGACATGAAAGTTATTCTTAAAGGAGACCAAATGTGCGTACATTTTGCAGATTGTGAGAATACCTAATCCAGACATAAGTCTATGAAATCCTCTCTTCATTAATGCAAGAACAACCCTTTTGTTTGCTGGATAGTTAAAGTCTGTTTTGTACATTCTTTTTTAAGTCAGTGGGATTTCTTTGGTAATATAGGTATTTAACTGTGAGTACTTTATTTTTTTCTGCAATAACTTGAATAGCAATTTAGCAATCTGCTTATGAGTACCCCTTTATATATTTTAGTAGTATGGTGGACAAGTTAGGCTCACCACTGCGAACTGGAAGAGATGTGCAAAGGTTTTATGATGCTGGTACAAAACCAGACAGTAACAAGAAAAGATCAAATGAGTTCTTGCCAATAAAGGAGTAAGTATTACAAATCAGTGTGGTTTATCTGTTTTGCAGAAATGTTCCTTTTAAGCAAAGTGTGCCCTTGACAGACATGAGCTGCCCAGTATTTCTTCAATATAAGTGCTGTGGGAGAGGAGTAGATGATATAATTAGTATCGGTGAGAGGTAAATAGCTTCATAGTGGGACAGGAAGGATGCACATTTTCCTCAGATTTGATTTCTTCTGTCACTGATAGGTTATGGACTAAGAGTGATAAAGGTCTGTCTTTCTAAATCTGAGATAAAACTAATTTGCATGATGTAAAGCTGAAGTAAGCATTTAAGCCTGATAACTGTACTGTTTTAGTAATTTTATTCCCTTAAGGTCAAATGTTTATCTCTCTCCTACATCTGGTCCAAAAACATGCAGAAGGCAGACTTTGTAATGAAAGGTAAAATCTTTTGTTAAGTCCAAGTTATCTCATATAAAGACTTTTGAATCTTTTGAATCAGATCTTTATAAGATCTGAGTTTGGAAGGGAGGGTATTCCAGTTATTCTGATCTTTAAAAAAGGAAATAGATACTATATTGTAGTTAAGCCTTTGATACAATTTGCAAGATGCCAAATTCAAATAGGCTGGTTTTTCATAAACTATACCTTAAAGCTTATTGCAAAAGAGAAATTAGTAATGAATTATATGGCACATACATGGAATGGAAAGCTTTAAATAGTAGAAATGTGTCTGAATCTCTTAATGCTGTAATATCTTTGAGACAGGGACAAAACATTTGAAGTTAGGTTTCTATATGAAGAAGCAAAAAAACAGTGAAAGGAGGGGAACCTCTTTCTAGACAAACAGAATTTTCTGTCTTTATTTGTTCTTTTACATATTTGGTTAGAGTTAAAAATCCTGTGAACCACCAAAAATCGGGTCAGTTTTTCATTTTGTTGTATTGTATGGCCAGTCTTCGCGAGTGAAGATTTTGGAAAGGTCTTTTACCTTTCGAGCCTGCGCAATGGATTTTTTAGGTGAGACACAGCATGCGCTGAACTGAGCCCACCCTTTAATCCTAAGGTTCATCTGCCGGGGCCAAGCGAACTTGGACAATGGCAGTGAGGTCCTCAGGATGTAGGTTTGTTTAGAGTGACCTTCTCTTAGGTGGATGGCCTTACAGGGCTGACGAACTCCATCTGCCCGGGGGAGTGTCCCTGAGCGGGAATCGAACCCGGGCCACGGCAGTAAGAGCACCGTATCCTAACCACTAGACCACCAGGGGTCCCCTTTTTCATTTTGTAATACATTATTAAGATGTTGAAAATTTGGCTTAACAAGTTACTGCAATTGCTTGCAATATCCCCAATCCGTACAGTGGTGATTTGATTTTTTTTCTTTAAGAGTATAGGCACTTGCTCTGTTCTTCATAACACCCCTCTTGTTCTTACTGAAATATCCACTGAGTTAGTGAATTAAATCTGCCTTCCTTGCAGGAGATGATTCGGTATGTTATATGCCAACAACATTCAGCAAATGTGGATAGTTCCTAGCAATTCTTAAACTCAACATAGCAGTGTGGATGGCAGAGGTTTCTGGACTTTGGGATGCATGCCATTTATCATCAGAAAATTATTTATGACTTTGCACAGAACCATGAGTTGTTGTGGGTGTTACAATGACAGCTGTCAAGAATATCTGAAAACACCCTGTCTAGGAAGCAAGCTTTATATATCAGTATTTTATGATAACATTCAACCAAATTGTGAATGCATGCATAGGAGAAGACAAGCTTCTTTACACATTTCTTTCAGATTTTTATTTTGCAAGCAGTGGTAATTCAATGAGATGTACAACATGAGCTGCTTTAGGAACAGAAGTCACCTTCAGTCATTTCTTTTAAAATTGACAGTCGATAATAAATGCCTTTAATGGTATGCCCAGATTTTAAGAGTTCCAGGTGGTTGTGCTACACAGCCTCCTCTGCTGTCAGGCTGTATTAATACCTCATGTGATACAACTTAGAGTAGGGATTTATATAGTTTTTCAAAATCAAAACAAAAAATCCAACCAAACAGAAAAAAAGAAATGAAGAAGTAGATAGCAGAGATGGGACAGATCGGAAGAGACCTAAGCTGTTGTGGCAAAAGTTGAAATAATCAAGAATGTCTGACTTCATTGGAAAACCTCTCTCTAGAGATCAGATTGCTACTTAACGATGCAATTTCAAGGTTTTTCACCAAATATACATGAAACCTGATGCTAATTATGTGTCTAGATTTGAGCTGAACAGCTGAACAGCACACTTTAAATGTGGCTTTTCAGAATTTCGATTTCTTCCCACCCCTCCCCTGTTCAGTCACTCAATGCTGCACTAGATGCAATACAAATAATGTTTTTAAGACTAATTTCTCTGAAATTTCTTTAATGTACACCTAGTATTAAAGCATCAGATTAATTTTGAGAGTACCTAGTGGGATGAGGGTATATGGTACATATCTTAGAAAACTGAATAGTTAAAATACAGGAAAGAATAGTGGCCTGTTTTTCATGTCAATTTATTTCAGATATCTAGGACATCTATAACATGATGTTCAAAGCCAATTGATTCAAAGTACACCCTGAAAAGACTTCAGTTTAAGAAATTATTGCTGTTAGTTTTGAAAAAGGATTATGTTAGTCCCAAGATGAAAATCCAGAGAAAACTGAGTCAGTAATATTTTTGGAAATTTTGTTTTAAACTGCTTCAAGCTGTCTAAACAGAAATTGAGACACAATTCTATTCTTTGTGTCATTGTCTGACCATCCCTGATCCATGATGATCCATACTGTTTCTGTGTGCACAGCTGATTTTTTTCTTTAAAAGCTTTTCTAGCTTCCTTAGCAGGTAAAGTAACAGTCCGATATGTTCTTTCCACTATTGAGCTCTAATGAATTTTACTCAATTGTAAGCAAAGGTCTCTCCTCATTGTAAAATGAGATGGAGGAAATAACAAAGATAGAGTATTTCGCATCTGTACTGTTGTGCATACTTGTAGCAGTGTAATTTAGGTTACATTTAGACTTTTATCCTGGAATTCAGTAACTTCTGAAAGACTGATATAACTTTTAGTAAGTTTTAATTCTGTTATAACTGACATAGTGCTTTTCAGTCTCCACAGTATTTTTTTCAAGTAAATCCTTCTTTAGGATCTCCTTGTTAAATAAGAGGGCAGACAGGAAAACTAAAGGAGAAGGTTAGTGTTCTGCCCAGTGAGCGAGAATCTTTGATCATTCCACTCTACCTGTTCCATGTCAAAGCCATTCTTGTTAAACTTGAATACTTTAGTTAGGTATTATTTCACTTTATTTAATCTTAAATTTAGTTCTGATTTCCACCTTTGTGCTTAATCATTTGATCACTTCACCACTGGTTTAAGTGATGGAAGGAGCTGAAAAGCTGTCTTTAGCCTATGCTCATGAAATGATGGAAGAAATGTTTTATGCAACATGTCTGTAATTCAGAAGTTATTACATGTTCCTCAGCTGTGTCAGTGTTGCATTTGAAGTTACTGGAGTTGAATGCATTTCCTTATATATGGTTTGAAAACCAAACCAAGACCAGGTTGTTTATAATTCTGAAAGGAACAGTTAGGTTCATCTGAATGGAAGGGAAAAAAAAAATTCACTTTTGGGTTTTTGTTGCTGAATGGGCTCTTGATGGCTAAGCTTTTTTAGTGGAGTCTTGTTTTAATTTTTTTTAATGTACATGAGCCAATCCCACCTAAATTTCATTTATGCATTGTTGTTCAAGAATGAGAACAGAAAAACTTGGTGGGTCATGCACAAGATGTCATAGTAGCTGAAGACTTGCTAAAGAAGAAGAAATTCCAGAGAATGGTAATTCTTTTGAGCAATGATGAAAACTTCTGTCCTTGGTCACTAATGCTAAAACAATACCCCTTCCTATTTATTTTTCTTAGTGCCACTCAGATTTTTTCAGGGGATTCTGATGTTTCTCTACTCATCAAAGCAAGCTGTGAGATGTTCTCTATGTTTGGGATGTGCTATTTGTTGTATACTGGCTTCTCATAAAACTCATGAGTCTTGAGAAAAACAGCTTTTGCAACTATGTGGTCATACTGTTGAAGCCAACTTTAGGAACACTGTGACAGGCTGTTAAAAATGAGGCCCTGATGCCCAGCTGGATACACTTTTTTTCTCTCCTCCTTCTATTTATATTCCCAATATAATTATGCTTTGAAGAAAGAGGATCTACAGAAGCATGCATCCTAAATAAAGTCTGTGGTTATGAAGAAAAAAGTCTTGTGACTTACTTCATATCGGTCACAAAGTCTTGAGAATATGATATCCTTTCTGCAGATCTTAAACTATTAAGACTTGCAGTCTGTTTCTGTGAAAGCCCTGCCAGTTCTAAAAATTGATTTGTAATTTGTCAAGGTAGACATTAGAATGTACTAAACAACCCCTAGTGCAGGGTCTACCTGTATTTTGGTGGGTTAGCAAGTGAAACACATGAACAGGAAAGGACTTGCTGTTCCATTTAGCTTGTCATTGTAAGATTCAAGTCGTATCAGTTCAAATCACGCAAGTTCATGCCAAAACCCTTGTCTGCTCTTGTTAGGAAATTAGTTACTTTTCATACAATTAATTAATGTGTAGATTGTTTAACCTTTTTTTTTTAACGTATATTATTTGTAAATGCATATTCTTGTATGGATTTCTGTGTGTGTATATAAATCACCAGATATTTATTCTATTTTAGAGGCACAGCAAAAGCCCGGACATCAACTCCTCCTAGTGTGGCAAGAACCATGAGCACGGGTGCTTTACCAAACAAAAGAAAAACTAGCAATTCAGACACTTACTTAAGGTAGCTTTTAACTTTGTGAATTTTGTCATCAATAGAACCTTCAGTAAAGGAGATTACTTACTACAAAAGAAGTTGGGGAAAATATTGTTCTCTGCAGCTAATAGATAACTCATGGTCAATATTATTTGGCATGTTTAAGTTACTCAATATATTTTGCGTATTTATCATCTGACGGCACACCTTTGTCATCAGCTGTCTCACATGTGCACAGGAGACCGTGTTGGAAATGTCAAAAACCTCTTAGGAGCTGTTGAAAAAATAGACACATATTCTCTCAGTAGAAATTGAATGAAATCTTCATGCTAAGCACATAAATTGTCTGTTGCCTGCCCTTTCAAAGGGTAGGATGAAAATTGTATTGCTGTTTTAGCCTTTTTTTTTTTTGACAAGCTAAATTTTAAGTTTTAAAACACTCCAGTTAATCTAACTAGTGAATCAAATATTTGATCCTGCTCCTAGAACTTTGACATTTTTCATTTTCTTATAGGGAAGGTGGGTATCTGGAGATCCATAGGGGAGCCGGGGTAGAGTTGTAAGGTATACCACTGTAAATAGGAAGTGTATGCATGAAAATTACAGTAACAGTAACTGTAATTCACTGCAGAGGTTAGAATAATTTCACATCAAGTTATACTGAACTGACTTACAGAGAATGTTCTTATCTGGGAATTTTCAGGTCTGACGGTAAAATTGGGTGTGACAGTGGAGACTGTGCATCCTCAGTCAATGGAGGAAGTTCAAAAAGCAGCGAAAGAATTTCACCTGTACACTTATCAAAGTTCTGCCATGAATGTGGAACAAGGTATCCAGTGGAGTGGGCAAAGTTTTGCTGTGAGTGTGGAATTCGAAGAATGGTTGTGTGAACCTATCCTTAAAAGCAAAAAGAAAATGAGAAATTGGAAGTATCTGCTATGTACTGTTGCATGGAAAGCTAGAGCACTCCAGCCAGTTTGACTTCATGCTGCAAACATGTCTAAACATCATTTTGTAATTTTCTGAGTGCAATCTTCTGGTTACACAGTTATTTATAAATGAATATATATACTGTATATAAAAATAGTAGCTACTAAGACTGTGCCATTCAAGGAAATACTCTTTACTCTCTGTTGAAAATCTTTAAAATTAAGGTAAAAATGTGTTAAGTAATCTAGGTAGCAGAAGTGGTTCAATGTTATTTTTTTTTGTAAAGCCAACTAGACGAAGGATTTTTATAAATCACATATGCAGGGTAATACTTACCCATAGGGAACTAGCCATGAAGAACTTGGGTTTCAGAGGTTTCTCTGTGGAGGTATTTCCTTCATTGATGACAGTAACTTAGATGCTGTGTTCTAAGTGAAAACAACATGAGCGACTCCTTATAAATTCCCAGTTAATAGTGTAAAAAATCTGGATCTTCAAACTCTCTAACAGTAATATCCTAATTGGACTTTCCAGTTACTTCCTAGGACTTTTTAAAGAAACAAAGTGAAAAGACTACCTGAGAATTTTCTTTGCATGTAAGAAGAAAGGCAAGATTTGGCTTTTCCTGTTCTGTTTTTCAAGAAGAACATGTTAATATTTTTATCTATTTATAAGGGCAAATATCTTCATTTTATTAAGTTCCTTTTGTTCAGAAATACTTGTCTTCCTCCTCCTGTGCTCCACTACGACTGGCATATCTAAAAGTGTCGTGCTTCGTGTCTTTGTCTTGTTTCCAAAGGTCCTGCTCATTTTTCTTCTCTTCCCTCATTTCCTGAAGGAAAGATGAAGTCTATGTTTATCCTCCTAAATGTTGAACTGTTATTTTGAAAACAGCCTTCTTGATGTATCCAATACCAAAAAAAAATAGTTCCATAAAAATGTATGTTATTATAGCAGTAAAACTTGATGTAAATAGTGACTATTTTTATTCTTATTCCTGTGAAAATAGCACAGCTTACATATGAGTGCATAGTGGAGTAGCTGTGCTTCATAGCTTTATGTGTCAATACCTGACATGGGTTTTACTGCAATTTTGTGTATTCTTGGGCTCGGAACAGCAGCCTCTTGAAATTAGTAACAGACTTCACATTAATTCTTGTGGAAGAAGGGTCAGACCTTGAAAGTTCTTGGGTTCACAAGCCGAATCATTTACCTTGTATCTTAATGTAGTAATTTGTTTTGTGAAGTTTTGCTTTGAAGTACTTGCACCATCTTCATAATGCGTAAAAGAACAATCTGAAACAACTCAACTGTGCCTTTCCTGCAGTAAATACACTCTTTTTGTTAGAAATGAATACTTTCAACTCACAAACACCATTAACATCAATTCATGTAATTTCTTTGTAGCTTATGAAAAATAGAATTAGTGTTCCATGATAGTATTATGGTCATTGTTTGCATTCTCAAAAACTGTGATTGTTATCAATGGGGCCAATTTAGAAGAAAACATTATTGAAGAAAAATGTCTTCAAAGCACATACCAGTCTTGGAGAATGAGAGATTTAAGAGTCTTGATGTAGTCACATTGTAGGCCGCAAACTATCGATATTTTAAAATTAGTTCAATGATTGTCTTACACTTTTTATACAAAATTATTTTTAGAAATTATCCTTAATTCAGTGTAGTGTTATTATAATTGGTGTAAGATGGCTGTTGAGCATGGTAGGATGGATGACTTGTAATGATAGTTAGAACTGACTAGGCCAATTTATTTTCTGAGTAGTTTAGATTCTGGGATCTCTATTATGACATATTCGTATCTGGACTTGGAAGAACTGGAATTCTGCATTCCTTTGCATAGATAAGCCTGCTTTGGAAAAGTTACCCTGGGCTTGGGCCATAGACATCTGCAGACTGAACTATTGCAAGCTGAGAGTCCATCAGCAAAGATACCAGTCCAGAATAGATTTGATCATTTAGTGAATCTACTCTGACTTGGTGAATTTTCAGTTGATTCCACTGGAAAATGCATTTTACCACTTTCTACAAAGTGAATGTTTAGTATGGCACTAATGCCTATCAGCTTTTCCAGGAGTAATATGACTGTAGAAAAAACAAATTGTTTCTCTTTTGAATTGTAGGTGGCAGGTTTCCTAGTTTCAAATCAATCCCCGTACAGTTAGTGTATTTTTTGCCTTTTGAGTTGTTTGTGTAATTCTTTGCTTTCAGTGCAGCATTTAGTAAATTACTGGAGTAGCACATCATTTACTTCATTTACACTTCTATGATTTATCATAAGGACTACACAGGAGATTAACCTGTGTTAAAAGATTTTTAAAACTGATAGTTTAATTTGGCCTTAAAAAGAAGGTCTATGAAGCATAATTGACTGTTGATAGTAACATTGGATAATGTGTTGTGTGTGTTTGAATCTACAGTAAATATAAGCAGACAATGAAATTGTATTTGACTGTGCGGTTGGCTACTGTATAGTGAGACTATCAGAGGCCCAGTATGTTTCCTGTTTATCAAGTGGTTTTGTTACTGAATGACATAGATTTCTGAAGTCACTGATGTTACAGACCCTAGCCTGTATTACACAAGTTATCAGCACAGATTATTGTAATTCCATCTCAGTGAAATGTTTGTAGAAAACAGCAGATTTGTTTTCATAATGCCCCTGCAGAAGTGAATGTGGGAAACAAATTTGTTATATTTAAAGAAAAAGAAATGTTTAGGGAGTTGGACTTCGAATTTTGAATCTTTAGTGTATTACACATGTCAAGAGTTCCCAAATTTAATTTATTAGTGATCTAAGTCCAAGTCCTCTTGCCCTAGTTTTCCCCACACCTTTATGTCTTGGTTTTCATGGTAGGAAAAAAACATGAACTATGCACTGTCTATTTTGTAGTGAAATTTACTGATGTGATTGTTTTAATGATTCCTATATCATTGTCTGACCCTATGACAGACTTTTCTTTTACTGTCTGCCATTATATCTTCCTAATGTGCTTACTAAGGTTCTTCCATTCATTGAAGGAAAAAAAAAAAGGTAAAATTCCATTTAAAGAAATGAAGAAAAGGCTGTTTTTGAGGTTAACCTGAGGGAGTTTGCATTCTCATTGTACTTTTGTTATTATCTCTTATACAAGGGACCTCTCTGTGCCAGGAGTGCAGGATCATTGGAACTATGCTGATAGAAGTGCAATGGAGTTACAAAAAATACTAGCTTCAGTAGTAAAAACAGCATAAGACTTAATCTCTATATGATGTGTCCTACACAGGTTTATATTTATGCATGATACACCCTAGGTAGTTTCAGAACTGGAATCCCTAAATATACAGCAATAAAGTATGTGTTTATATGGATGATTATACCATCAGTCCCACACAGCAATGCAGGGAAGTGGGCACGGGGAGGTGCTTCACTACCATTTCAGGTTGTAACTATGAAATGAACATTTAGGCAGAATTTTTCAAATTCGCCGAAGAGACTTAAGGAGCCCTTGAACTCCCCAGGAGTCCTTCAACTCCCCAGAGCAAATGGTAAAGCTCCACCTGAGGGTTCCCCGGATGGGAGGGTAGTGCGGCGGGGGAAGCTCTCCATGGTACTCCATCATGGAGCCTCTCTCGCAGTGCCAGAGCAGCAGCTGCTCGAGTGCAGACACGCATCCCGCAGGTTTTCAGGATGGTAACTCCAAATTTTAAGACCTGACCCAGTTTTTGTGTCATGGAGATTCTCTGTCATCTGCAAGAGACTACTAGCTCCGAGTTCACCATCGCAGCTGAGAGTGTGTGCAAAGAGAGCGGTTTCGTGATGCGTGCTTACCAAATCAGTGGAAGGAGGAGCGACTGCAGTATTTAAATGCTAATAAACAAGGTATGTGTCAGTGCACACTAATGTAGGCTATGTAATTAGTCTACATATAAAATTAAGTGGTACTCTCTATGTATTGCAAAGCTCACAAAAAGTGCTAGTTTCCATCACATAGGCTTTGTATATGGGCAGAGAACAAATCTGTTACGAGTGTTTTTTAATCTTGGCTGACAAATTTGTGATTTGTAAGAGCACTTTTTGCAACTTTAATTCTGTCCAGTTTGACTAAGCTATGAATAATTATAGGGGTTGTATGAGAGGGTAGAATTTTTATCTTTGGTAAAATTGGTTTTAGTGACTCTGGTGAAAATTGTTTTTATTGCCTTTGAAGTACAGCTTATTCCAACTTGTGATCATTTTGCTGCTGGTTGGTTTGGTTGGGGTTGTTTTCCAACTTGCTGACTAAGGTTTGAGTGACCTAATTGTGTTGTTGGAAGAAGTGCTAGGTAAAAGACTCTGTTAACTGTATTCAGTAGTTACTTGGTTGATATGTTCTTTACAGTGTTCACAGTATAAGAGGTTACTCTTGCACGTTAGTTCGTTTTTTGTTTTGTTTTGGGTTTGTTTTTTTGGTGTTATGTCATTCCGGAATGCACATTTCTGGAGGATCCTATTTAGGCCCATTCCACTTCATTTTGCCAGAAAACAGCTTCTTCAGACTTCCTCTTAATTAGTGCTTTTTCTTCACAAAAATAATCAGTAGGGAAATCACATTTCCCCAATTTGAACATAATACTTTGAGTCAGCAAATCAAATATTCAGTTTAATATAGCTGAATATTGAACCTAAGTTCTAAATAGGAGTGCATGGTTTACCATAGTTCTTTGTTTCTGTTTGGCTTTCTGGCAGAGCCATGAATGGATTTGGGTGGGATTTGTAGAGTACTGAGTATGCTATGACTGTTACAACACCTACTTTATATGATTGCTTTAATTCTTGGTGTTCATCCCTCATATGACACTTAATGTTTATCTTCGTAAGTTTATTTATTGATGTTCTATGTTTTTAAACAATGTATTCATTCACGTGTTTGAGGTGATTAATTTTGTCAGCATTGCATTTATTATGTTTGCCTTACCCCTCAGTGCATTAAATATTTGTGTTTCCGACCGTCCAGTGGGGGTTTTTTTGCCAGAATTCCTGGGTTTGTTTGCATTTTATTCAGTATATTTTGTTAATTTTAAAATGTCAGTTCTGTTTTAATTAATAAATGTAAATCAGCACCTAATGCTAATTTGCCACTTGTTAACAATAAAGCAAATATGCTAATAAAACTTTTTGTGATGCACAAATTTTTGTAGTGAAATGCGAAATTGTCTTAAATGACATAACATAGGGGTAGGTGATATAATTTCAGCCTTATTCAGGTACACCAGACCTGATATGAGGACCATCCACTGTCTTCTGCTGGTAGCTGGGAGTGAGCCACTTAGTTGTTATTTTCAAAGAATAGGGTTTTTAAATTTACTGGTGAGATGAGACTTGAATGAATAGAAACAAATTCCTCTTTTCATTACTCTCAGTAAGTTCCTTTTACTGAGCTCTTTTGTTTATTTGGAGAGAGATGGATTTGAAGGGTAGACTACTCAGTGGAAAACGAATTATCTGGGTGGATGCAGCCTGGGAGTTGTGGTCAATGGCTCCCTATTCAGGTAGAGGCCAGTAACAAGTGGTGTCCCTCAGGACTCTTGTTTTGGGACTGATGCTCTCTAATATGTTTGTCAATGACACAGACAATGGGATCAAGTGCACCCTCAGCAAGTTTGCAGATGACACCAAGCTGAGTGGTGCAGTTGACACAAGAGGAGGAAGGGATGCCATCCAACGAAACCTGGGCAAACTTGAGAATTGGGCCCAGAAGAACCCAGTGAGGTTCAATAAGTCGAAGTGCAAGGTGCTGCACCTGGTTCGGGACAATTCCAGACATAAGCACAGACTGTGAGAAGAAGTCATGGAGAGCAGCCCTGCCGAGAAGTGCTTGGGGGTCCTTGTAGATGAAAAACTGGACATTAGCCAGCAACATACACTTGCATTCCAGAAAGCCAAAAAGAAGTGTGACCTGCCATTCAGTGTGGTGCAGAGTACTGCATCCAGCTCTGGGGCCCACAACATAAAAAGAACATGGACCTATGCAGTGAGTCCAAAGGGCCACAGAGATGATCAGAGGGCTGGAACACCTCTCCTTTGAAGACAAGCTGAAGGAGCTGGGTTGTTCAGCCTGGAGAAGAGAAGGCTTTGGGGAGACCTCATTGTGGCCTTCCAGTACCTAAAGGGTGTTTGCAAAAAGATGAAGAGGGACTTTTTTGCAAAGGCCTCTGGCAGGACACAGGGGAATGGTTCTAAACAGAAAGAGGAGAGATTTGGATTAAATGTTAGGAGGAAGTTCTTTACTGTGAGATTGGTAAGGCACCAGAACAGGTTGCCCAGAGAAGTTGTGGATGCACCATCCCTGGAAGTGTTCAA